AATACGGTAACTATTTTAATATTCATACATAGAAGGTACCAACAGTTGTACTACTGGCTCTCTAGGACTGGCTATACTCTGTATTGGGGTGTAGCTCGCGCCACCTAGCCTAGAAATTTCGTCTTAATTTTACTCTAAATTTTTTTTAGGGCATTTGCATATGTGTCATTTTGACTGCATGTTCGTGGGGCTTGACCGACATTAGAAAAGAGGATGACATACAAAACTGTTCCGCTGAGCTTCGCTTCTCCCCTCTTCCTCGTCCTCCTCCTCCCCCCCTTTCCGCCCTGCTTGTTCAAGTTAGACGTGTGTCGCGAACTTTTGTCGAACCGGATTTTTAGGTCAAATATTCGGGGTTCCACTGGTTTGAACCGGTTCGACGAACCTTTGTAGTGTTAACCCGATTCGACGGGTTTGACGAACCTTTTAACCAGATTCGACCGTTTCGACTTTGCGGACAGTGTGACCAGACCTTGATACAAGCATGTCTAGGTTTTGAGTATTTTTGTTATGCGAAAGGGCATCTTAATTGTATCAACAGTTGCTATAAAACAAACCAATTCTAATGATCATGGAAGTTAACCTAATTTGTTGTACTGTATTAACTGAAATAACCAGTCAGTGCTGCCCTTAATTTGTCCCTTAGACATTGTTACGGAAAAGATCCCGGGCATGTCCGTTTCGATGGTGTCGGCTTATCGTTCTCTCTCGCGCCGTTTATGAGCTCGTGGTTCTGTGGCTTCCGCTGGACACGGGTCTCCCTGTATTCGTCTTCTTCTTCAAACTGGAAGTGGGGTCTTATGTCTTCGGCGGGTAGTGAGCTCCTGGTCATACCTCTCTAACGGCGGTAGTAGCGGCGTAAACAGGGTCTCCCAGGCTGCAGCCATCGCTGCGGTGGCGGCTGCTGCCGCTGCGAATCCGGCACGAGCACAACGTCATGGAAGCCGGCCGAGTCCTGCGCACCGTGGCGCGGGTTGGGCATCGGTCGGCGTTGACTCCGTCTAGGAAACCAGCGACCTCTGAAGCGTCTTCCTTCCATGATATAAGGGAGGCACTGCACGGGCTGGCCGTCGGAACCTGTCACATTGGCGGCCTCGCGTCCCTTCTCGCCTACGGCGACGTCAAACTCGACGGTCTCGCCCTCGTAAACGGTGCGCGTGAGCTTCTGCGGGTGGTTCCGCGTGATGGCGGTCTGGTGGACGAAGATGTCTTCCCGCCTGTCGTTGCGGTTGATGAAGCCGTAGCCATCCTTTACGTTAAACCGCTGGACGGTGCTCAGCACCCGCTCAGCGAGCACGGGTTTCTTCGTGGTCATTTGCATGGCGCCAATGTCGACGGTGGGCGCTTTTCGGCGTTGCCCAGTAACACTTGCTGAAGTGTGAAAGATGGCTTGGGAGTACATTCCTTGGACCATCCAGCCAAATATGGTTTCTACAGCGGTGAGGTCGTCTGTTATGCGCTGGATCCGTCCTGTGACGACTTGCCAGTAGAAGTCAGAGCCTATAAGAACACTAACGTCGTTGTCCACTTTGCCTTGAGCTCCAGCAGGGATGATATCTGCGGCTTGAAGTCCGCTGGAATGAAGTTGCCTCAGTATGTTGTCATCTAGCTGCTGGTGTGATACTCTACACAGGTCTGGGACTTCCAGTGCTTCAAGTGATGTCTTCTGCTTGCTTTGATGGCTATGGAGGGTCACAACCACTCGTCGACAGGACCGTTTGGTGGCTGTGTTTCCAAATATGTATATATTAAGCTCCTCCTGGCCAACGACTTCACAGCCCAGTTTTTCAGAAATGTCCTGCCGGATAAACGTGCGCTGACTCCCACTATCCACTAACAGCCTCAGTAGGGGGTGTTTCGGTGTCCCTAGGGCCCAGGTTCTAGCAGTTTGCAGCAAGACAGCAGAAGAGCGGAAACTGGTGGTTGGGGCGCTCACGACTGTTGCGGTACCTTCACGAAGTCCTCCTGGGTCTGGGTTGTCGGATGCGGCTGATGTGGTACGTGATAGATCGCAGAGTATAGTCACGTAGTGACCTCCACAAGTGGCAGATGTCAAGTTACTGCATGAACGGCAAACACGAGCGATGTGATTTCGCTTGCCGCATTTGAAGCAGCAGCGTGCTCGCGCAAGCTTGGTTCATTTTTCTTGTGTTGAAAGTCTAGCCTGGCAGTTTTGCAACGCGTGCTGGGTGGTATCACACAAAGGGCACGTGGCCGCTCGGTAGCCAATAGCCTCAGTCGAGAGCGCGAGTGCTGAAGGGTGGCTCGCCTGTACGGATTCTTGACGTGGTATCGGCTATGACCCATACCGGGGAGAGTGACTTGGGTGTTCCATTTGGGCGTCTTCTCGAACCTCCACTTGAGTCTGTAGAAATAGCATGATGACGCGGACCTGCTCTTCCGGGCGCATGTCAAGTGTGTCGGCTGATGGTGTTAGTGCTGCCTCCCTTAACTTCTGTCGGTATAGCATAGATAGGTCAGCAGGAAGGCACCGCATGAGGACACGATGTAGGACGACAGCGTAGTTGCTAGGCGGGACATCCAGCCCTTGAAGAGATGTTGTTCGGAAGCGTATCGCATCGTAGAGTTCACGAAGCTGTACTGTGTTTGTTGAACTGTTGACCGCAGGCAAACTCAGAAGCCGATCAATGCGATCATCAATTAGGATGTCCCGTCGTCCAAATCGGTCTTGTAGTGTCTGTACCGCGAGGTCATAATTTTGTTCTGATAGTCGGATTCCTTCCACGGCTCGCTTCGCGTCATCTGTGAGGTACGTGAGAAGGTACTTAAACTTCTCGATTGGCGGGAGTTCGGAATTGGTGTGTATTGTACAATTGAAATGATCCCAGAACCCCTGCCAGTCGCGACGGCTCCCGGCAAAAGTCGGTACCTGCAGTTTCGGTAGGGCGACCGCCCTTTGGCTCCTTGAGGTCAGAGTTGGAAGAAGACCACCGGACTGGGCCCTGTCGAGAGGGACGTTGGGCGTGATGTTCGTGGGTTTTGGCACAGGGACTTGAGAGTCGAGGGCGTGTCGGACGCGCGTGAGGCTGTGACTGATGCGAAGACGGTACTCCTCTGCTCCCTCAGGCTCGCCCTCAAGATCGTCATCTGAGGTGGACGTCTGGATGTCACGGTCAAGGCGGATTAGGTCGCTTTCTTTCTGAAGCAGGTAGTCCAGTTGTAGTCGGAGGTCAAGCTCTGTCGTGTTCTCGTCTTGCAGAAGATTGTCTATTCGGGTTAGTGTTCGGGTGACGGCTGAGCGGACGATGCCGCGGGTTCTTTGGCTGCGGTCCATCTCGTTTCCCGGGTGTCGGAAGAGATGTGTTAAGGAAGCGATCCCGGGCACGTCCGTTTCGATGATGTCGGTTTATCGTTCTCTCTCGCGCCGTTTATGAGCTCGTGGCTCTGCGCTCCTCTATCTCCTTTTCCTCTCGTTACCTGCTACCAGATGGCATAATCTACAACAGCCATCACCATCCAATCCGAAGCCAACCGGCGAGCCTGTCGCGCATGCTTTTAGCAGTCGAACCTGAGTCAAACCTTACGTCGAACTTTTCACAAGTTTGAAAAAGTCGAACTTGGTCAAACTTGAACCTCGACCGGTTCCCAACATCCCTGGTTAAAACTATGCCAAAAGGCTGCCAGCAGTGTTGCCCGGTATGTATGCAAGTCGAAACCGCTCTTCCACGCAACAATCAATCAATCTTTATTTGCATAAAAAAGTGGAACACGGGAAGCGTGCATGGCTGGCAGAAAGGTTATGAAACCTGTACACTGAAGCGCCTGCAAGCCAACACTCCATTCTGGGCCAAACTTCAGGCGTTCTTTCTGTGTCATATCAAATTCATCTAAGAAAATCTATCGCTGCATATATATCTGTCAGTTGGCATTTAGGAAATATTTCATTTCTTACACATGAAGTCAAAGAATTTTGCACTTTCAGCCGACAAGTCAAACCTAACAGACATTTATTTACTTACCGGCTCATTGTGCTCAAAATCCCCACTGGTTCTTTCGTTGATACATGTGGCGAAGCAGTAATTGCCCATAATTCTCAATTGATGCCGGCCACTCGAATCTGTTGTTGCACTTCACCTGTGACAGCTGTTGGGACCCAAACGTTTCAATCCACTTAAGACACCATGTCGCATCGCTGCACTACATGGCGCACGACTGCTATAGGAACAAAGAATTAATAACTTGCCAATTGTATGTCCGGGAAAGGAAGCCCCAGTTTCATTCCCTCACATTCTATTATAGACAAGCTTACAAACATTACAGAACGAAAGAACTACATGTGAAGCAGTGTCATGCTGCGGCACACTGTTTTTATGCCAATTCTGCAAACTTGAGGCTGGTTCACACAGCACCTTCTTCTTATGTTAATTTAGAAGTCACCAAAACATTGGTATCTCGAATGCCGCGTGCCAGGCTATCTCCTTGAACTTGCAGCCACGCTTAATATGAAGCACAGATGTCCCGGTGACTTGTGGCGTAAGCAGACATAAGCTTCCCTAACATAAGACAACGTTAGAAAACGGAGCTGTATGTAAGAAAACAAGCCTTTAGCCTCACAACTGATTGCATTTCAAACTGTTATTGCAATGTTACTCAGAAAAATATGAATAGGAGTTAATATATTTGTTAACTATACGACTAACTCTGAAGGTTATCCACCCATTTTATATGTGCTGAAACTAATCAATTCACAGTGAAGACACCATTAATCTAACTGCCACTACAATTTCTTTTGTTTACACAACTGTTTGAATGAAAAGCACTCTATATTGGAAGGAACAAAAATGTTTAACTTGTGAGATCATACCTTATGTTCACATTAGGCATGCTCAAATTTGTAAGTAAACATATTCGACAGATCTGTACTCAAATGCTTGCCAGATCACCAACTGCTTCAAGAACTAATTTCAGTCGAACATGCCTTGATTGAAGCTGAGAAGCAATTAGTAATGGTAAAACTAATTCCCTTCCTTCTTAAAAGGATGGTGTTCCACAAAGTCTGTCGATGCCAACAAAGTGACAAAAGCAAGAGTTTTGGTGTGAACTCCACAAGTTGCGAAGCATTTGTAGACATCAAAATTAAAAAGATCACCAAGGCAACGAAGCGATACGACCCCTATTTGAAAGGAATGGCACCACTGAGTGCAGTCGTCAAAGTTCGAGAAGACCATAATCATGCCCTGGACTGTGCTGATGGACTCCGCCTCCTTCGGCCCAGTCCCGGCACCCGAGCATCGTTCTACAATTACTTCAAAGATGGCCTCAGCCGAGCAGAGGCCATGACACTACACCGACAGAAGCTCGTAGCTGGGGAGAACGATGCCATCCAGCTGCCCAGTGGTGCCCTCATCCCGTCTGGAGGTACTGTCTACCACTGGTTCCGCATCTGGCGCAAGGAGCACTATGGTCACACAGTGGACCCGCTGTCAAAGCTGGCGGGAAAGGCTCCATCGTACCTCCAGCATGGTGAGTTGTCATTTGCCATTAGAGTTAAGTATGTTTTCCCAAAAGTTGCCGCCCCTAAATTCCTATAAGGTTGTCATGGCACCTTTATAGTTTTTGGTTTTTTCAATATTACTAATTCCGGAATTCAGCGCCTTCTGGTGGCTGAAAAGGCAGTTTAACTTTTACCAAACCATTGACAGCGGTGAACCTGTAGTCTGCAGTATTTCATCGGGCACCGTCACTTTCGCAAGTCAACGGCAAATGTGAATGTGCGCTTCACCGTACATTTCTTTCTCAATATCTTTCGGTTACGATGGCGGAGAAGATGCGACCAGCCAGAACAAAGTGCCAACCCACATAGACGCCTTGATAAAGGTCTATACATCAACGGTCTTTGAAGCCGATTGTGTGCTATAACAGGTTGACTGGGCCGGAAATAGAAATGAACGCTTACGCAGCTCTTGCATCCAATTCCTGCTTCACGTCGCGCTAATGTGTAGAATGTATAGGCCTCGAAACATCTGCTTATTAGCATCTTCAACTTCTTCCTTTATCAGTACTTTATCAGTAAACTAAAGGCCGCCATTAGTATAGCACACATGCCATTATTCACATGATGGCAGTCATCAAAGTGGCCAGACTCAATTTTAGAAAAGGTCTATTGGTCATAAACTTTTGTTTTCCTGTTGCGACAGGAAAAGAAAGACAGAGGGAAGAATGGTGGGTGATCAGTTAGTATAAACCCAAAGGACAGGTAAAAAGGATGCAACATACTGAAAGAGGCCTTCTCTTCCCAGGCTTGATATTTCATTAATTTTGCGAATTGTGGGTAGTTGAACATTTTGCTATTAGGAGCAGTATGCTATGTATTCGCTACCATGGGGTAATATATTGCCGCAACCCATTTTTTCCATTATTTTTAAAGTCGGGAAATCTGCGAAAAGTACATCCTCGTCAAAATTACGTCGTTGACAGTACTTAACAGAGCACAACTGCATTGCCACAAAATATTCTCATATTGCAAATAGCCTACGCATGCAGTATATTGAGTTCATGGTAACATTCCAAAAGATTCTTTTTAAAAAGGCATGCCGCATATGAAACCATTTGCAGGTATCATATAAAGCCTTAATAAAAAGATCTAGAATATGTAAACATGTTCAACCCTCTTGCTATCAAAATACTCTTATACAGAGATACAGAGAGGAATTCCGTGGCAGTACTGCGGTTTATAAGAACTCCTTTTCCCCTAAAACAATACAGGAAACAGACTGCCAGTTCCTGTGGCTTGTGTTTTACCTAATGAGATGTTTCTTCTACATTGACCTCATAGTGTTCCGTGTATTTGTTAATTTTCGTTAGGACAGCCGGCCAATTGCTATAAAAGTATTGTAAATTTTAATGTTCTATGGTATTTCGATTGTGATATTTGTTGTTTTAGTATAACCACTACCACTTCCACTCCCAAATTTCTCCCCCCCCCCCATTATAATGCCTCATAGCACTGTAGGCATCTCAATAAGTATATAAATACAAAGAGTGATAAAAACGTTCAAGGACAAATGTTTTTTTTATTAATGTAAAACATTATTGTACATTGTCCATTTAAATTACTCCCCTTGGAAAACTATACAATTTTTCCACTGCGGTTTCCACTGTTGGATGGATGAAAACTCATCTTCTGGAATGCTGTTCAGCTCCTCCAGTGATTTGTCTTTAATTTTGTCAGTTGAGTCAGATCTCTGCCCTTCAAGGGTCTCCGAGTTAGGGAAACAGGAGGAAGTACACAAAGGCCACGTATGGTGAGTACACTGAGTGGGGACAACGGTCATGACATTTTTTGAGCGAAAATTACGAATGAGCCACGCAAAATGATCAGGCGTGTTGTCATAGTGTAGCACCCACTCCCCATTTTGCCACAGCCTAGGTCTCATTCTCTTTACAGCCTCGCACAAATATCTCAGGGTTTCAAGATAACCAAAACGATTGTCTCGGTTCGTGCAAGGAAGTCGTAGCAGACGACACTTTTCTAGTTAAAGAAAACAGTGAGCATGACATTCACATTTGATTTCACTTGTTGAGCATGTGTCGTGTTGGAGAGGATTTCGTCTTTCAATGGGATGATTGGACTTTCGTTTCCACATCCTACTCACGAACCAATATTTAGCCCCCAGTAATGACACGTTTAAAAAAGTTTTCAAGATTATTTGCAATTTCAAAAATTTCCTGACAAACCTGAACCCTGTGTTCTTTTTGCTTTTAAATCAACTTTGCAGCCACTCGGCACATTTGCAGTTCAGACAGAATTTCTCGACATGGGCCAAATGAGATGTTGCGTTCCTCTGCCATTTCACGGATGGTTATTGGACAATTTGATCGCATGAAAATGTTCACTCTGGCAACATGATCGTTAGCAGTCAAAGTTGATGGGCATCCTGAACGAAGATTGTCTTCCGACGATGTCCAGCCTTCTTTGAACCACTTGTACTACTCATGAGTTCGTGATCGACTCAGACGTTCATACTCTGCACTCTCTTGCAACACCTGAAAAGTTTCTGGAAACTTTTTACTTAACTTGACACAAAACCTGAAACAAAAGTCTTACTCTTCTTTTTGATAGAATTGATAGAGAATCACAAAAAGCCAAACACAACAAACTTGTTTCACAAAAACGCCTGTTACTTGAAAACAAAGGAGTTTGCAGAAAATCTACAACAGCTCAGCACAGTAAGAGACACAACAGCTAATGCTGCCCGTACCACCCAATTGCGCCCGTAAGTGTAAAGTCACCACTCCAAACTGTCGATAGGGACAATGTCTCGGAAGGATAGATGGGACTGAATTTCGCTCCAAAAGAATGATTGTTAAAAAATGAGACGTGGAATTTAGGCGTCTACAAAGAATAGACACAGGGAGCCTAGATTTCACACTTACCATGACAGAAGCTTGCAGAGAATCAGCCGTTTCTGAAATATTTGCGAGGAAAACTTCCGGTACTTGAGACGCCTCGAGATGCCTTCTGCAGACAAACGCATAATAAACGCAAACGGAATGAATGAAGTATGCCTGCTGCAACAGTTTGAGTCGGTTGCACAATGATATGATTTTGATTTTGGATTTATTTGGGACATGGCTGGCCTAAGAAAACTCACCGGATTTATAAAAACTAACTGTATTTGCGTAGAAACAATACTGTCTGATGAAAATCATTGTACGCATGGAGATCTGCTAAAACTATAGCGAGACAAGGCATCTGCTTAGAACATATCACGACAACTTCGGGCCCTCTTTTTTTTCTTTTGCAGCTGATATGCGTTGTAATGAAGGAGCGATTATTTTGAATCTAACATGAGCGGTTTCAGACCTCAAACTTCGTTCCGCCGGTTCGCAATATGGATGTCTTGTACCTGCTTCTAATCACCACACTGAGAAAAAAATTCTACTTGATTTTTCAGTTTTAAGTAAAACCCCAAACAGCCAAGGAGCTGGATAATAACATTGGGTAAGTTATAATGTTGAGTACATGACCGAAAAGGAACACTTCTCCTTACATCTAGAAGATTTGCGTTTACTCTTAGTCCGAGTGTAGAAGACAAGGAGGCCTGAATGACCTTGCCTAGTCAGTCTCACAGATTCTAGGTCGAATGTTCGAGATGCTGAGAGTGGTAGATATGGGTTTGAGTGTGAGCTTTGCTGACTCACTCAGATTCTCCCGACGACGAGGCACATTCACTCTCGCTCCAGCCAGTTTCTATGCTGAAGCGGCGACAGACGCTGCTACTGTTGCGACAGATCCCTTTTTTGTTTCCGGCACAAGCTCGCCAATCAAACCTTTATTTTCATTTTACACTCATCGAATCTTTTCCATCTGCAAGATTTCTAGAGAAGGTCCGGGGTAAAGCGTTCCTTCTCAGTCATGCACGTGGCAATATTGATACGGACAGTTTGTTTGAACACACAAATGTGCACTGAATAATTGTGCTGTCAGAGACCCTTCAAATGTGTGCTGGCCTGCACTTTGACCTTGAACACTTTGCGTCGCAATCATACGTGGTTTTGGTTCCCCAGGGTTTTTATCTCCTCAAATATTGTGGAAGCCGAGCTCTACGGAAAGGCAATCGTGTGCTCGCGCGTGGTATGGGGAACAGAATAAACACACAACTTCTTATGGTGTGTTCTTCATATTCGTTGAAATACGTTTCTGAACAACAATAAAAGCATTTACTTTTCCTCGAGTTCGAAACGGACGAATTAAACAACCAACTCGAGCGGTTCTCCCTTGAGCTGCTGGCACTTGACAGCTCATCGACATGAGACCATGAAACGAAACGGAGCACTGTGTCCAGTTCTCTGGTCCAGAATAAATCACAATCATTATTGTTAAATGACAATAGACACTTGGTACCTGTTTTCATAAAACAAAAATCAACTGCTTTCATAGCCTTAAAAAAAACCTTTTTGTTTAGATTTGGCAGAACATTTGCTTTTGTGAGAAAGTGGCTTGGCACACAATGGCACAATTGGCACTGCACTTCCACCCTTGCATGTACCAATTCCTAAAAATATTTGACCGAAGTCCAAAAATTCTTGCCTAACCCTCTTAAACAGACACTAAACTCTCAGAAAACATTTTTTAGGAACCTAATTAGGACACATGTCGTGGAATTAATATTACCCACCATAAAATAGTTAATACAAAATTTAGCGTGTGAAACCCACTGACTTAAGGGCGATTCTGAACATTATTCTATTGCTAGATCGACGTCATGAAATAGAAGCATGTTTTTGAATAGCTCCTAGCTCAAATTGTGTCTTGCAACATAAATAATGTGCTAGCTTTTTTGCCTGTTCAGTGCTTTTTTTTAAAGTATCGTCCCTATTTGCATCTCTTGCAGGAGTCGACGTGACAACTACCAAATCCTCAGATGGCACCTGCTGGGCAGTCCTTGTAGTCACGGGGATCATGAAACGAGCGCAGGGATTGGATGCCGCCAGGGAGATCGTCTTTCTGGACTCAACTGCATCATGCGACGAGTCCCAGTGCTCAGTGACGGTGGTGCTGGCAGCAACCCCAGCCGGTGCCATACCCCTGGCTGTACTGCTGCATAGTTCTCAGAGCACTGAGAGCTATGCAGCTGCATTCGGACTGCTAAAGCGGAAGTATCCATTTTGCATCGGTGGTGCTCATGTAAGTTGGCTATGTGCAGATGCATCAAGGGAGAACACCGCCCAGAAGGGTGAACGTTTAAACCCTCAGCTTAAAATGAAAACATTTTTTGTGTGTGCTACTTGATAAATAGTGCACTAAAATAATTCAGCTCTATACATTAATTGTGAAGGAAATTATGATACTTCTTATAGTCAATCTCTCGTCGCAAAAATAATAGTGTTCACCATTTCATTTTTTTCAGATACAATGCAAAACGTCTGGAAAGACAAACTGTGAAAAAAAAAACTTTGTAAGATTTAATTAATCTTTATAATATCATTTTATGGCAAAATCAAACAGGTTTTATGCCTTCTTTGTCTTTAAGAAAGTCGTAGTATCTTTTCTTTTACAGATATCAGTAATGTAAAAAGAAACAAATCTAGGGGCACATGCCTCATTCAATACACGAACTCAGCTCTGTTACATAATAGGGGTGGTGCGTCGGGCGTACTTCCGGTCTGGGGCTGTGGGTGGAAGTTACCATATGGGATGTGCATTCCTGCATTGTTTTTGTAGAAACCAGACAGAAACCCACCTTGTTGTCAAAACGCCCCGACTAGGACTGTGCCAAAAGAGTCGGGAAATGTGTGAAGATCAGTGTTCACATGTTTTCTGCCTGCTCGGCTCGCCCGAGAGCGTGGATAGGGACTATGAAGAAGTAAAACCAGATGTCGTCGGACCACGACTGCTTGTGCGGGAAGCACTTTGGGTTAAATCCACGAATACTTGTGGTCGTCAGATTTATTTGTTTTGTTCCAACAAGAACGCGGGAAAACCGCAAAGTTGTACGGACCACCTGCGGACTACGTTCAGTATGTTTTAAACTTCGAACGGGCGCCTGGTTGTTCGAAGTGTCGTCTGCTCTCTGACTTTTCTGCATGTCGTCGTCTGCTCGTTCAAACGAAGCGGCCCGTAGACCAAACGTCCGGTCATTGCGATAAGAGGTAAGTGCAGGACACGAAACACTTTTAACTTCGAAGGCTGGCTGGAATAAATAAGCTCGGCGTAAACAGTAGATACAAACATATGTTGATAGCTGTTACCAGTGGCCATCACCGATTTGTTATGCCTGATTCACTTGGTCCGATTCTGCTTGCGATTTCCAGTATGGACGTCGACCATCTCAGCTACGGTTCACGCTTTCGCTGTTCGAGCAGCGTCATGACTGAAAACAGGGAGCAGAATGTAATCATGCGAGCCAGATTTTAGCGTCCATTCTGCGACGTCCACGTGGAATGAATCGCCGCATGTCAGATGGTTCACTGGATGTTTTGCGGTGTGACGAGCCTCGTTACTTTCGCTAAGACCACTCGAGTAGTCAGACATTGCCAGGAAGACGTAGAATCAACACTTCCAATGCAAAAAAAGGTACGGGGACTCACACCGACGCCGACAACATCGCATTCCAATGGTTTGCTTATGGGCGACTGCGAGCATTTTCCTCACATTCCATAAAGCATGCAGGGCGCCGATAATGTCAGCTAGGGGCGCTCCGGTTTGTTTGTAAACATGAGTTGGTGTACACCGGTCAGGAAAAACAAAAAATCACCCTTTCCTTAAGTCCTGTTTATAGAATGATGGACTGACTAAAATAAAATTTATATCAAAAAGCGAAATAGAAGCATTCAAATTGTCCACATTTGTACCATTTATATAGTACCAAGGTATTGTAAATAACCTATGGCAAGCTAACTATGCAGTAGAAATTAATAGCACTTTGCCAAAGTACTCTTCAGATGTTGGTGGACCTAAACATGGCTTTTAAACTCGATAAGTACAGCAAAAAAAATATTCGTCTAGGTAATGCTCCTTCTACATATTCTTGACACTCATGACTACTGTGTAAATTATAACCAGGGTTCTGTGTTTGAGTATTTCTCGTTCTTTGAACTTGGGAGCGTTTTTTCAGGGTTTATTTTTCAACAGATGTGGTGTAATTTTATATAGACTGTCGGTGTTGTTTCGGAGTATGTGGTAGAAACTAGGACGGATTTCCCAACCTCCAGGGAACATGCATGTGACCCGAATACTTAGATAATGTCCCGGTTCTTATAAGAGGGGACAAGAGAAAAAGTGGGATTCCCAAAGGAAGAAGCAGTCTTGCAAAACGTTTAGCGGGGGCTGTGTTCCAGGTCAACACAAAATAAAGCTGTACATAAAAATTTTCTTCCCATGAAGCCAGGCTTTTTTCTTATTCAAGATCAGCTCCAATTCAAGATTTTTCAGTTTTTCCTAATTATGATAAAACCGGTTGAGAGGTTCACTTTCAGGGCTCACCGGTATTCACTGAAAATATGGAACCATAATTATAGCTACAGTAATGGAAAGGACAACACTAAGGTATCTTTTTCACCATCTTTGCCCCAGTGCTAGCCCAATGACTAACAACAAGGACGTCTATGTTGGAGGGAGGTGGCCGACACTGGTCTTGTCATTAACAAGTACTTACAAATTTGCCAAGACATTGTTTAACTTTATACTAAATTATAATTAACGCAATCATTTCTGCCGCACATCCGCCCATTCCAAACTAAGCGCCCATTCCCAAATTTATAAGATGTGATAAAAATATGCGCACTACATTGATATGTGAAATTGATGACCAGATAAGTGCTCATCTGCCATTTTTTTATGATTATCTCTAACTTTTGAGTGGGCACTTGCCAGGTATTTTACGGTAAGTTGAATACTGAGGTAGTACTACAGTGCCATTTTATAGTGTTTCATGTTTAATTACTCAAATGGAACTGCAAAAGGCATTTTATCATGATATCGTAAAGATTCAAGTGTGACCTAGCTGTACACCAACGGACGTATTGTGTGCATCTCAGCCAGGAGTGCAGAAAATGGTGCCTTAACTGTCAGGCACTATACTCGGCGACACTTTTCCTGGCACTGCAGTGGAAGGTACTGGCATGCGTCCCCTCCCCCCATTTTGAGCACTGAATAAAGCTGTGCACGGGTCTCCTCCTCTCCACTGCATTGCCAAGAAACTTTGTCGCCGAGTGTAGTCCCCATATTGCACTCTGCAGTGGCTGCTACAATGGGTAATATCATAAAAGCATATTTATCCACATTTAAAACTATTTTCAATTATTTTCTGCACTCGGTCTTTTGTGCTTTGCTTTGTTCAAAATTTCACAGTAGTATACATCTTTGCTTTAAAGAGATTTTATCATTATTTTTGTCAACTACTTCATTCAATTTTTTATCATACTATTTGGAACTGAATTGCAAACCAGTCTGTTCACGAGTTCTATATTTTATATAAGAGATAACTAGAGACGGCAAAATTGTTAGCCAAATATTAATCTACATTTTTTCGGGCAATTTTTGCGTGGTTTTAAATTTATATTCATTAAAACCTATGAATATTTAGCCAATTAAACTATCCACTTTATACTAGAAGACAGCTGAGGCGTTCAGTAGAACTAAAATAAAAGATTTTCCAAAACAAAACTATTGATGCAAATGTCATACTAAGGATCAACAGCTCTTGAGTAAACACATAAAAATCATTCTACTTCTTACTAAACCCCAAAAAAATCCAATCGATCGGGCAATGTATGATCATCATACATTGCCCGATCGATGCCCATACCAAAATCTGGACATCCTACTCCTGCATGAATGCACCAGTCAAGCAGGATTCGATGAATATTTTGTCATCTGGGAAGACAGCAATGCCTTTCGGTAACATTCTGCAGGAAAGGAAACCAGGATAACAATTAAAACGACCATGCTGATGAATAGATACGAATACTTGAAAGGATATAACATGGAGGACGGGGACGGAATCAGGACTTCTTTCAAGAAGTCTTCTTTCCGACCCGTCCTCGATGATTTATTCTTTCAAGTATTCATATCAAAACTAGGGGCAGCAATTTTACATGTACTACAGTAGTACTGCTTTAATCGAGATGAAACAATGGAATAAAAAGATACTGAAGTCTAATCGATTCTTGCTTCACTAGTTTATACCGAGGTGATATCTAAACTAACGCCATAGAAGAAGTCTGCTTGCATAAACTCCTCCCTCTGTCGCTTTTGTGCAGAGTGCATGCGTATGCAGAGGGAAGCTCTCTTCTCTTAACAGACGAGCCTGACGAGACGAGATAAATTTGTGTTTCTCTATCTAGGAGGGGAACTTCAATTTCAATGATTCAAGTTAAACAATTACTAAATAACTGAGGCTATTAGATACGTGCAAAATATGTACAAACATCAAAATAAATATTATTTTGTCACACAGGGAAGGCAATTGAACTGACTTGTATTGCTACTTTGGTTTAAAATTTAATTTATATTTTAAACTTTAAAGCATTTGCAGGCAGGCTTCTACATCCCTCCTGAAATTGTCTTAAATAAAATACAAATACAATGCAAGTTTGATTGAGATTTATACCGTAGATAATATCTAGTCACTAACCATGCAATGCTTGAAGGGTTCTCTTTGGATCTATTTTATAGAAGCTGCTCTACATAGTAACGAGATTTGTTCCCTTGGTTGAGGACCACGTGGGAGGGAGTTGTCTTGCCAGTGGGTTTATATACATTTTTGACACCTTATAATAGCAGGCAACTTTCTCTTCATAGAGAGATCAGCAGGATCCCCAGACACTTCACCCACAAGTCATGGATCTTCATTGCGAAATCTGCTAAGTGCTATTCCAAATAGTGTTGCTCCATAGGCATAATAACGGCATGACAGAGAGTCTCCCAGTGGTAGCACATGGACACAGCAGCAAAAGTGGAAGGTTATTGTATAGTCATTGCATTGCTTAAAGTGATGCGAAAGATTCATTCTCGATTGAATAAACACGAGTGATAAATAGGAGAATCATTTCGTTTTGAACGAGCATGAAACACCTCCATGTTTATTATATTCTGCAGGCACCCAAAGCATTCATGACTGATAATTCTGCGGCGAAAAAAGCTGCTCTGCAAGCCACCTGGCCTGAGGCAACCCAGCTTCTGTGCCATTTTCATGTTGCTCGAGCAGAATGGCGCTGGCTCCAGGCATCGCGCAACAACGTCAGCCGGGATGAAAGGCGGGAACTAATGTCTGCATTCCAAAAGGTGAATGCATATTTACTGTGTGTTCTTATCATGTTCTGATGCAATCCCTGCTGCCACTTATTACGGCTGTATGAAGTTTTGCATAATGGAAAGCCTTCTTGGCAATACGTTGGCTGCAGTTTTTGAAGATGCAGTTTTTCCCTTTTTTGTAATACATTTATTAAAAAGAGAATGATTTGGCTGCAAGGAGCGCCTCACACAAATAGGTCAGTTAGTGTATGTCCCTTTATAACTTAGGAGAAATAAGTTTCTGGTGAAAAGTATAGCTCATTCATCCATAAAATGAACATACTTCCAAAACTACTGAGATGAAAATGTGCAAACAAGAACAAAAAAAAATGCTACAGGTTTTTTTTTTCTTTTTCCAGTAGATGTTTCTAATATTTTATATGAAATATAAGAAAGGTTAATAATAAAAATGAATGGGCCCCTGTAACACTTTCAGCGATTGTCTATTTATGGCCATAACTGCATCTATGGGCTCTAAGTATCCTAAGTAACCAAACATTACATTCATGTTTGGCCGACTAAAAACTAAAAATGCTCTCATTGTCCTTTAAAACTGCCACATGAACCTTCGAGCGAACTTACTATTTCTACAAAAAAAAAAAAAATTAAACATAGATTTTTTAACCACAGATTTGAGATGTAAGTTCATACCACATGGTACCCTCCAAAATGTGTCTGGGTCTGGATGCTCACATAAAAAAAGACACAAGGATAATGTGCACACAGTCATGTCCAAAAAAACTAACTCAGTGCTACCACTGCGTCCATTCACATTTTTTTATCATTCTGTGCATACACCAACCTATGTGTACAGACAAGCCGGAGTGCTCCAAGCGGCATGCATCAACACGGTGCGTGCGTGACGGGGTGTAGGCAAGAAGCTCCACGCCCCGCATCAACAAACAATTTGAATGCAATGTTGTAGGCGTCGGTGCAACTCCTTGTGGTCTTTTTCGCATTCAGAGAAATTAGTGAGGCTCATTACTGCGCAAAACTTTACACAAATAATGTGACGTGCGGCGATTCACTCCTCGTGATCGCTGCAGAATTGACGCTAAAGTCTGATTCCCATGATGAGATTCTAGTCGCTATTTCCAATCGGAACGTCGCTCAGACTGCAAACATCTGTACAGTAGTTGCGATGCTGACCGAGTGAATTAGGCATAACAAGACAGTAATGAACCACTACTCAGTGTTTGAATGCATTTGAATGCAAGCGCCGGCATTTGGCAATCGAACACATTCGAAGAGTGAGTAGAGACGAAGGCAGCTAGTTTACCGTCTACCCACTAATCATTCCAGTCTGAGCTCAGTGTTCTGATGTCCCTGTGCGCTCTCGTCTCGACCTCGATGTTTCTTGTCGCATAGCTTTGCAGTTCCTGCATGAGCACTCAAGTGTTTCTAAAAACGAACTGATTTAGTGGTTTCTAATGATTTGCAGAAAGTTTCTATTAGGAACCATATCATTCTTCACTAATTAAAAATTATATTAACAAATTTTAGTTAGTTTTTTTTTTACTTATCGTGCTGATTAGCCCCCAATAATATGTCCATCTGGACATATGACTCACCTGCACACACCACATTAGTATAGCTTTCACAGCTTTTTGAAAACAAATCTGTAAAGCCAAAAAATACACTTTGCATAGAGAGGTCTAACCTTTGTAAGGTCGGTGCTGGCTACCATAATATTCTAAGAAATGACCCGTACCTGAAAAGAGGGAGATAAGCTAACATTGCTGACTGGAGAGAACAGCCTTCTCTGCTTTTTTGCCCCTCCCCCCCCCCTTCCCCCCCAAAGTGATAACTAGGCATATCACAAAAACCAAAATTAGTTCGATTTTTTTTTTGTGGTTCCACATTGAAGGTTATTTTACTTTTCATTCTTACTTGATTCGCTCTTAATTTGAGGAGGGACATCTTTCAGAATATCATAGTAGTATAGAATAACTCTAAACAAATTTTTCAGTACTTCTGTTTTCAATGAAATTTTATATTAATATCACCTGATATTCTAGCATGCAATATTAATTAATGTTACAGAAAAGCAAATAGTATGGTGTAGTGCATAAAACTGCATTTCATAATGTCACTTGCAGATCATGTATGCATCATCTCCCGATGAGCTGGATGCTGCGAAGAGGAGCTTTGGCAGACGTCCCACCAGGGATATGTCGCACGAGTGGGAGCTTTTTTAGGGAGAGGAAGGAGGAATGGGCGCTCCCTTTTCGATCCAGCACCACAACAAGGGGCCGCAGCACCAATAACTTTGCAGAAGCGTCAATTCGTGTTCTAAAGGATGTGGTACTCTGCCGTCGCTAGGCGTACAATGCGGTTGCCCTCGTATTTCTTGTGGGAACTGTGTGAAAGCACAGTTCCCACAATTTTGAAAGCAACCAGAGGAGGTTGCTTTCAAAATAAACCATATTTATTTCGGCAGAAGACATGTCAATAAAATTAATGTTAAAATTGGCAGCATGCCTGCGAGTTGATCTGGAGTTGTTAGCGAACAGTCCCGATATTTTCCAACTGAAATCAGCAATGACCCTTGTGGTCGGTTTGCCTTGCTGCATACCCGACCCGGAAGAATAACACGCAGCCCCCAGTGGTTTCAAGAAAAAGAAACTACATTTACTTAGACATGAACAAAATGATGAAGAGCACTCACAGAAAACTAACGAGCACTTGCGGCGCTTGAGTCCAGCGAGCGACTGTCCATGCGCCGCCTCTGATCTGCCTATCTAGGCGGCGTGCGCGATGTACGCGTTGTCGGCTTTACTCCGCCGCCACGCGGGAAAGTTCGTCACCTGTGCCCCGTAGTCAGACAACTGGGCTGGGAAGCCGCCAGGGTGCCCATATTCACCCCCCCCCCCCTCACACTTCTTCCGGCATGTCGATAATGGTTTCGTCGTTGTGGGCCTCAGGGGGTAAAATGTGCTACTGGGCAAACCGGCCAAGGTGGTGGTGCCGATAGACAAGCGCGATGGCCCGTTCGGGGTCGCGCTCACCGAGTTGGTTAATGCGCGCGATGCGTTCGACGTCCGCCCTCTCCCCTTGAATGTGCGCGAGTTCATGTTCCGCCCGACAGTTTTCGGGCATCTTAAGGAGCGGAAAGAGCAGGCGCAGCTCTACTGCGGTGTAGAGTGCGACCGGCTCTGTAGGGTGACTATCCTTTAAGGTTCGGCCGCGGAACGGCTCGGGAATGGTTGTTGGTGTGCCCTCCCGCGTCAGTCGGACGCCCAGCTGACAGAGTTGTGCTCGTCGAACACGGTTCAAATAGCGATAGTCCGTTGTGGTCGTCCGCTGCATCGTCGGCGTAGGCCGGGTCCACAGGGTGTCCTGTAGCGGGTGGCCGCGGTCCACGGTCCCCTGGGCCGCTTGTGACGCGCCGACGTCCTAGGTGGCTCGGTCCACCACGAGCCCGGGCACCATCTCGTTCCAATGGCGGAGTGTGGTGACGGTGTTGTCCACGAGCCATCTTTCTGTCAAACGAAGGAATCAAACGACATGGGGGCTTACCGGGCGGTTGAGCCTGACGTTATCTTCGCAGCTATTCCAGAAAGTTCGAAATAAGGGATCTGAGGTAGGTACACAATCTTCTCCCTCGTCTCTTGAAAAACAAGTGAGACCTGTGAAAGTAGGAAACTACCCTAAAATGCGAAAGGGGCAAAGCAGTGGAGGCAAAACAAAATGGTTCCTCTCTCTTTGGGGTCACCCACGTTGCTGGTTATACCGCCGCCCTGGCGCAGACGAAGGGTCTTCTGCAATGTGACTGTCGCCAAAGTCGTTGTGGTCCTGCGAGAAATCTTCGTCTTCTGCTTGAAAAAATCATTTGAGGTCGTTGACATAAACAGGTCCGGTTTCTTATCTAGGCTCACGGTGAACTAGTTTGTAAGTGAACGGTGAGCACTTTTCATGCATGCGAAACAGACCTTCCACCTGTTTGCGAGGGAGGCTGCAAAGCGTCGAGCGTCGTCACTCAGTGAGTGAATACGCCGGAGCACACGATTTCCCACATCGCACTACAGGTCACGCAAAACTCTGGTTGGAACATTCCGATTGCTGCACTCGGGCGACGTCGAGATTTTGTCGGGCCTCTCATAGGTTCCGGAGAAGCGCTCTCGCAAGTCCTCTGCGAACTTCACGTAGGGGCGAAGCCTTCCCCCAGACTCTGTAGAAAGGAGACTGTTAAAAAGGAGAAACGCCAACACCTTGCCGAAATTCAATTGGGCAGGAGCGAGTTCCGTTGACAGATTAGTGGTCGTACGGGTTGCGAATGCCTGCACCGGCAGTTTCGCATCCCAGTCCTTGTGGCGCTCTCAGTTTAGGCCAGTGACATCATCTTAAGGTTACGATTTACCCTTTCCGTGATGTCTTCTTGTGGCTGGTATGGGAAGTTCTTTTGTGTTTAATTCCCAGTACCGCTCATGCGTCCACGAACACATCACTTATTAGTTAAAACGCCTTATCGCTTACAAATTTTGCTGGAAAGCCGAATCTAGCGAATGTTACAAGCAGGCATTCCCAGATTTTTTGGGGAGTTTAGCTTTTCCGAAGGAAATAAGTGAACCCACTTCGTCAAGTGGTCGTTTACCACAAAAAAGTACTGATTGTCGAGGGGACTACTTGGTAGAGGCCGATGACGTCACAGCAACGAATCTGCCATGGGCTTTGGCTCACGATTGGTTGGATGAGACCGGGGGTCTGTGCACCACGTGGTTTTGCCTTTTGACACACCGAGCAGCTACGAGCGTATTGGAGCACATACTGCCTCATGTCTGACCAGGTAGCGATTCGAGATAGGTTTTAATAAGTCTTGCCTCAACTGCTGTGGTCTGCCAAGGCAGAGTCATGCATGTAGCGAATGAAACGCTTACGTAGCTTGCCGGGTATCACAGTTCGGAACGCCGACCCATCCGGATTGTCGTCGGCTTTTAGAATGTAGTGCAGTAGGACTCCGACATCGCTTATCAAGTAGAAGTTGAACCGCC